TGGAGCATTCCTAGCAGAATACCGCCCTTGAATGTGGTTTTAGAGGCCCTCAGCACAGCCATCCTCGAACAATTTGTTTTGACGGTGAATCAGGTTACTGATCCCTTGTTGTCTCTGCACTCGTTGCTGCCAGGGCTAAACTTCAACAGGAGAGACAGCCTTCAGCAAAGATGCCAGATTGGCTTCATTATTGTCCCATAAATATGCTCAGATAGCTGGGTATTCAAGCAGGTAGTGCTTTATAGTCCTGGGCACTGAGGATCTATAATGGTATAGAAGAAACAAGCTTCGAAATGAAAAAGCTGCCTTTGTAGTCCTTTAAAGCTGACCATGAGGAACAGGAACAGCTGGTTGGGTAAACAATCCAAATGGCAGGTTTATGTTTGCAAGTAGTCTTTCACTCAGTCAGTACAACTCCCAGGAAGCACAGCCCACTAAGTGGGAGAGCAAGTCAAAGTAAATTTAAGGTCAAGTTACTGAATATTTGTTGATGAATTAGTCTTTTGTATGTCTCAGGGGCTAAAGAAGTATCTAATATAATAAACCCATAAAATAGCTTATGTGTATACATACATCCTTTAATAAATTATTATTATTTTTAATTAAATAAGAGACAATGATTATTTTCAAGATACTGTAAGCCATAATTCTACCACCATAAAATAGAAGTGATGTATAACAAAACTGATATTTAATATTGGGCTGAACAAAATAATAGAAAAGCAAAATAATTAGAAACAAACTTTAATAAATGACTCTTCCTATTTCACCAAGATTGCCAGATTTCTGAACATTAGTCTCTAATATTAGGTATATTTAATTTTTATCTAGGTAAAAATAATACACAGGGATATATTTATAAAATCTAAATTGTACTAAGCTACAGCATTTTTACAACTTTTTTTTTTTTTCTGTAAAAGAACTAAAAAAGGCCAGAGGAAGAGAAGTGAGTGGATTTACCAGAGACAGAGTGGAAACACAACAGGCAGTTCTACTGAAATACACTGCTGAGGGGAGCAGCAGGCCAGACAGGAGAGGTCTGCTGTGCCATGTGGGTCAGCTCCCTGGCCGGGGAGTGAACTCAGGCTGTAGAGGTAATAGTCCTGATACTCAGCCCCTGGGCCACCAGGGAGACCTAAGCTACAACAAAGTTGTACATTTCTTTAAAACATTTTATTGAAATAAAATTTCCAAATATATGTAACTACTCAGTCACTGAAATACTATCATTTTCCAGAAATGACATGATGTCTGTAGAGTCTGATAATAATGAACAAAATTTGATTCGTTTCCTTCAAAATTTTGCTAGGAGTTATACATAGCTGTCTTACAATGAAATAAAATTAGTATTAGATATTAAAGAAAAAATTATGACAGGTTAGAAATTTTCAAAATGTTATACTGCCAAGGAAGACAGATTAAAAATGTTAATGAGTGTAATTAACAATTGAATTATGAAACTCTGAGAAAGGTATTTCCTTTGAGTAGCTGGGATACAGGTTAATTTGCAAGAGATTGGGGTGAAAGATGGAAGGGGTGGAACAAGCACAAACTTTAATTGAAGAACATTATAAGGTGAAGACACAAAGTCAGTTCCTTATAGGGAAGAGCAGGGAAGAAAGGGTTATTTTATACTTGGACGAATATGAGTAGGTAGCTAGCTACAGGCAGAGAATGGGCCAATGAACTACAACGATTTAAGATGAAAGAAACCCAGATACATCCCCTTTATTGACAAAGATGTGAAACTCGCTCTACTTAATGCTCTCTTTACAAATAACACAGTGAGAATATGAAGCGAGACATATTTTAGAACAAATTGCTGGTGGTGTTCAGACAGTCAAAATTCAAAGACAAAAACCCAGAAGTAAAAAAAGCAGATCAAAGTACATGTAAGATGATAGAACATGTTCAAATATATCACTAACCCCACCAAAGCGAGGTGTAGTAAATTCTACAGTTATCTCTTTGGGTCAGTAAATCCAGTGATAGGTGGATTTGAAAACTACCCGAAAATTGTATAGATGTGAAAGGCTGAAATTGACAGGGCAGAAAATTCAAGGAAACATTAAATTATAAAATTGGTAGACACACACTATCTCATCTTTTTTCTTTGATTTGTGTGAATTAGAGATCCCCACCTTCAAATTCTCTAAGTCAGCACTGTCCATATCATTACTACTTCTACTGTACATCCACTAAATTACAAATGCCTAATGTTAAATGTCTTTGAAATATTGTGTGGCTCATTCCTCGTTTTAATTCGTGAAACTCTCCTTAACTTATGTTAAGACTCCTGTGCTGGCGATTGCACTTGTTTCTGACCGTTCTCCTTGTTCTTAGAATTGTGCCCTTCAATCTACTGTCTACAAAATGTCAGAGTCATTCATTGTCAGAACTCCATTTAGCACTCTGCTAAGCCCTCCCTTGCTACCCATTGGCACACTATAGAGGAAAGCCAGTTCAATTCCTTCGATTTCCATACTCTGAGAACCTTTTGCAGTCCCATACCTTGATGAATATTCTTCCACCCGTAATCTTTCAACTGTGTTCAGCTCTTCAATCACATTGTACTGTGCTTCAAATCAAGGCCTTTGTCAGACTTTTACTTCTATCTAGAACATTCTTTCACTACTCCCTTCCCCATAACTTCTTCAATCCTCTTTTTCTCATCTAAAAAATATGATTTTCTCTAGTTTGTCTCTGTCTGATATTCACATTTTAGTATAAGCATTTTCCCCCCAGAACCTTTTCTGATGTCCTCAATAGAGTTTAGGCACATTTTTATCTTACCGTGGGACATAATGTATAGAGTATAATTACTTTAAAGAGATTATACTGAAAAGACTGTATTTCTCACTAAACTAAGCAGTGTGTCTGTATGGAACTTTTAGTGTCTGGTTCCAAAATTTTGCTAGCCAATTATTTGTCAAGTTACTCACAATGATTCTATTTATTATTTTCTAAAGGCTATACAAGAAAAGCTTTAGGGTAATCACAGTAATTGTTTCTTACTAAGTATTTAATATTAAATAGTAATATTAGATAGTTTATAATACAGTAGTATTATATAGTCAACCCTCTAGATTAGTCTACATTTGGATTTAAGATTTGATTTGGGTTTCTTGACAGTGGGCAAAAGGAAAGAGCTCAGGATCTAGAAATTCCCATTAACAGCATCATTTGATAAATGTCAGTTTACTTTGAATTGCTATCAAAATATAAATCTTCAAAGTCTTCCTACAAATTAGTGAAAGGCAATGCTAAATTCACCTTATACTTTGACTCATTTTTTCATTGGTTCAAAATTATCTAAACAAGGGCCCTTCTTAGTGGTCCAAAGGGTTAGGACACAGCACTGCAAGCTATCTGCAGCCTCTTCAGTGAGTCCAATCTCCAGGTCAGAGGTGACCCACATGGCGCAGCAGACCTTGCCTGTCTCCACCGCTGCTCCCCTCAGCAGTATACATTGTCTAACCTGTCTGTTCTGCTTCCCACTCTGTCTCTGGTGAATCCTTGCATTGCCCTTGAACTTCTGGCCTGTACCCCCATTCTGTATGTATAAATAAATCTTTAAAAAATATATCTAAATAGAGATTAAACTACAGAACTCTTCGGCTATAGGTGAATATCCTCACAAAAAGCAAATTGGGAGGATTTTAAAAAAAGGAAAGCAATGAGCAGAGATACCTGACTCAGAAAAGACAGTAAAAACAAACAAACTCCTGATCTAGCATTCCAAACACGAGAGATTGGTGAAAGGAAATTAAAAATTAAAACAGCAAAACACATTTTGCTATAGTCTAACCTCTCTAGCAAGTATTTGCATCCATATGTGTGTTATATTCCATAACTTGACTGTGAAATTTAATTAAAAACAATTATAAACACAGCCCCTTGAGGCTACAGAGGCTATCACAGTTTGAATCTTTGTTTCTGATGCATTTTATTCTTCTACATAATCATCTCTACCAGCCATATCCTCAGAGCTTGATTTGAGAAGGAATGACTATTTGCCTCAGCGCAGCAATCCGGACCAACTAAACTCAGACGGCATGGCCAAGGACCCTCACTTAGAGTTCCATCATCACATTAAGTGAGAAAGCCCAACATATCTAATTAGAAAACTGGATGGTTCCCAATGAGGTATTAAGGGCCATTCACCCTAGATGAAACTCCTGATAAATGCAACTGTACTCAGCAATAGCAGATTATAATTCTGTGTTAAGACTCTGGAAGAACAGTAAATACAGCACAAATCCTCTCACTGCCCCTGCACCTCTGGCCTGTACCCCAGTTCTGAATGCATAAATAAATAAATTAAAAAAAATACAAAAAACCCAAAGACCAATACAAGCCTTCGAGGGTGTCTAATATAAATATGGACTATGGTGAGGGCACAGGGGTGAACTGGTGGTGGGAAGTCCACAGGGATCACAACCGAGATGAAAAAAATGCACAAAATGAAGAATGATGTAAAAATATATTATATAGATAAATACAGATAAATAAATAGATAATTAATAATTAAATGGAAAAAGATGGTTCTACTTATACTATGCAATTCCAACTCCTTTTTTTCCTGTTTTCTACTGACCCCAAAGTAAACCTACATGAAAAAATGTCAGTGACTCATAGCAGGAGTATAATGGACCAGGCGAGAAAATAACAAAAATAATGAACAACCATAGACCAGAGACATTCTGTGGGGGTGGAGTGGGGAATGGGACCAAAAAACGGGGGGGGGGGGGAAGGGAGGGAAATGCACGGGACTATGGTGGTGGCACAGGGGTGATTTGGTGATGGGAAACCCGTGGGGATTACAATTGAGATGAAAAAAAAATGTGCAAAATGATGTAAAAATAAACTTTTTAATAAAATAATAAAAAAAAATGTCAGTGACTAAAATGGAAGAGTAAAATGAAAATGCCATCTTGTTTGTATCTTTTGGCTTGTTTGGAAAAATCATAGGTCTCTGCTTCTTTTTTACATTCTCTTAGATTTTCTGTGAAGAAAGGAAAAAGCCTGATTCTGATTACTCTACTTACCACCCAGATACATTCAGTGTTATCTGTGGAGAGGTAATTGATTTCTTTTTGTTTATTTGATAAACTCAACACTTTAGTTGGGAGGATGTCAGACTTGAATGCAGTTTTATAGTCTCTTCTGAGGTTGCAGTTAGTCAAATATCTTGTAGACAAAGTATCTGTCTGGCTCCTGAATGTCTTCCAAGCATGGAAGAAAGTGCCTGATTACAAAATGGTGTTTCTCCAAATGAGCATTAGAAATATTTTCTTTTCTCCATCTTAGTGTTGTAAGCATTCTATTTTCCTGACATCATATATTGACGTGCAGAAGGTGAACATTGGAAGACTAGATCTGCCTTTGAAATTGGAAATGATTAAAGTAGACTAATTGACTGAAAATATTAAAAAAAATAACAGACCTGACTCTGCCTACTAATCACAGGAAGCAGGATTCATTCAGGGTATGTGTGCCTCATTGAGTATATTTTCAAAACATGTTCTGAATTCCCCCCCAATATTCATGCCTCTGTAAAGGGGCAGATGGGAAGCACACATGAGAAGATGTGTCTTTTTCTGTCGTAACCATGGAGTCCCTGGTGATTAATTCTGTTCCTCATCCCCTCAACTCTACATTCCCTGAGCTTCTCCAGTGTCCTGAAATTGTTTCATTTTCTTTTAATATTGTCACTAACCATGTTTTCAAAAGGTCCACAAAAAAAGGAGTCAGTTGTTTAGAATAAAATTATTGGTATTGGGACCTCAGAAGTATATTACATGAATCTTACTACTAAACCTTGAAAAGAAAAAAAAAAAACATTCAGGATATTACCCTCTTAGATTTCTCTCACTTTTATTTGGGGCATGTTATCTGTCACCTTAAACATTCACATATAGGGTATCACTCCATTCTGTCCTTATCTCTTAATATTTTCAGTGCTTTCAAAAGTAAGTGCTATTTCTTGAAAAGTTAGTTGGGTGCTATTTCCAACGAACAGTAAAATGAGACCTTAGTTTTAGACTTCAGGCTGCTACCAATTAGGACATTAGCCCCTTGTGTTTTTAAAACTTGATGGACAAACATTTCCTCACCTGACAGATTAAGAGGGTTAATTAGAGCAGGTGATTCATAATACTTAAAACATTTATCTGAATGAATGAACATGTATACTTAGAAACAAGAGTACATCAAAAAAGCAAGATAACTGAACTAAATGCAAGAGACAAAGTGTTCTTTTTATTTTTTGACAATGTCATCTTTGATTTTTATGACTATTTTAAAAGATCCCATGGGCAGAATTCCATTTTACAGTGAGAATGAGGCTAGTTAGGTAAGTATGACTTTCTAAAAACTATCCAAAATATGAGCCCATAAAGCATATCTTTATGCTTTATGGCTTCAAAACAAGGCTTCAAAACAAGGCTGAAGCACAACCACTAACTGTAAGTGTATATCAGTTAGGAAGTGACTTCTACTAAACTCACTCTGACTTTGCAATCTCATACCTTGATGCTTACACTTCCACATATGAACTTTGAACTCTGTTCAGCCGCTCAGTTACATCATGCTGTCATTTAAATTAAGGGCTTTGTCAGGCATTTCATTCTATCTAGAACATTTCCTTTCCCCTTTCCCAATTCTGTACTCAGCCATTTTCCCCTCAACTCATAATCACCCTTAGCAATGTTTCTCCCAGAAGCCTTTTCTGATATCGGGAGAACAGTTTGGGTACACATTTACCTTACCTTGATTACTCTTACTAAAACTATTGTTTCTGAGATTACAAAGCTTTAGTTACAAATTCCTGTAATTATGCATACTTTTCCAGCAGAAAGACTTAGGTGAACTCTCTCTGCTCTAGAGCATACACTGGCTGGAGCATATATGTGGTTGGTGGTTGCTGTGCTTTGCTTATCTGATCTCCATGTAAAACTCTAGAAAAGGGCAAATGAAGGTCATAACTGCATTGTGTGGTTGGCTCTGAAGGTCTTCTATGACATCTTATTTAAAAAGAACAGTTAATATGTGAATTTAATAATGATGTGCAGAAAATGTGGTAAAGCAGCTGGGTCTCTGCCTCTTTGAATCTAAGTAATGATTTGGAAACTTGAGATTTTTTTTTAATTTATGTCATCAAATATCATTAAACACCTAGATGCATGTGTTAGGCCAGATCTTCCATCCATCACACCAGGCCATATGTTTTCACACCAGAAACACGGACTAGACTAAATTTAATCACATCCAATTCACAAAACATAAATCAAAAACAAAAGATGAACTTAAAGAAAAACAGCAATGATTAGTTATGAGCATTTACTGTTAGTGGCCTTTTATGTTTGATATAACACTCTAAAGTTGGAAGTTAATAGGAATGGAGACATTCCATTTCCAGTATTTTTTTTTTTTTATTTTATTTTGTAAAGAGGACAGAGTTCACTGGTGAATTTCAAGAAAGATTTTTCTAATAGAGAAAATAACTTGGAGAACTCTCATTACTGGTGACAGAAAAAATTGGATGGCATCCATGAAGGGAAGGTAGCAATGATGTAGAAAAGCAAAAGGGTTATTTCAACAGGCTCACAGCCCTCAAAATTGGAGTTAAACTTTTCTTAGATCGATTGAAAGTGTGAGGACACAGGTATGAAAGTGGAAGCCAGGTTGGCAGAAGAAAGCAGAGAGGCGGTCCAGGGATGGGGTGTGAGGCCCTTTGGAAGTGAATTCTCAAAAGAATTTTGCATAAAATTTCTATTTCAAGGAAGACACTGCACTAGCTGGTGTCATCATCTCCAGCGTTTTATCATCTTTTGTGAAACTGCAGAGAGTGATTTGCAAAGTCCTTGCTGAGTTTGGACACATACTTACTGGCTCAAAAGCAAAGCCTAGCATCTAGTAGCTACTTAAATATGTTTGATCAGGGCTGCCCTGGTGGCATGAAGGATTAAATTGCAGCACTATGAAACTATTGCAGCCACTGTAGCACAAGTTCGAGCTCCCTGTTTTCTCACCTGCTGCTCCCTTAGCAGTGTATTTCAGTCAATCTGCCCACTCTGTTCCCCACTCTGTCTCTGGTGAATCTTCTCTCTCTCTCTCTCTTACACACACACACCCTACACCTCTGGCCTGCACCCATCTCTGCTATGCATAAATAATATTTTTAAAATGTTTAATCAATCCTCCTGTTTCTAATGCCATCTTATGTTCTCACCACCTAAGAGAAGCGATTCTCCAGTTTCTGAGCTTTCTTGGGACTTAGCAGTAAATATATTTGCATCTATTTAGTACCCTAAATATAGGGTTAAATTTCAGCTTCTCTGCTCTGTTGAATCAGTTACAACTACTAAATTTGTCTCCAGATAAAAGTTTGTTGACATCCGTTATCCACTCTTGTCTCCTTTACAACACTTTGCCCTTGTAGTTTATGCCTATTTTTAAAAATTCTATTCCATATAGTTTAGTGGTGTTTTGGGAGGGTGTGCAGATAAATACATTTAACTACAAGTTCTCCCCACTCTCTCTTTAATTCTCTCCAATCAGACTCTCATCCTCCCAAATCCACTGAAATATCTTTGTCAAGGTTATATCTTAGGTGCCCTTTAGAGCATGTAATGAGATTGGTTACTTCTTGATATACTTTCTTTTTCCAACTTCTTAGACACAGTTTTTTTTTTTTTTTTTTTTGCGCACTTGATATGATTGGTTATTTCTTATCTTCTCCTTCATCGTTTCCTTCTAAAGAAAGTCAAGGTATTCAGTACCCCCTCTTTCTGCCTTAATAATCTGTTCTGGGGCTCATTCTATCAAGTCCTCCATGTTGGAAACATGGCCAAAACCCACATACAGAAAAGTAGACATTCCTGGTACTCTCATTACTAGGAAATTAAACAAGTTTTAGGATCTCTATGCCAGGAACTGGGAGCAGATGCCAGTGCATGTATTTTCTAATATTTCACAACCCACCTGAAACAGTCCTCATCAGTTTATATAAAAGAAAGTCCCATGGAAGTTTTGCTTTGGTGTTCTGTCTTCTGTCCTTGCAAGGTTGGTAAATCAGTCCAGCTTGGTGCCAGCTATTGGAGGGGAACTGTTAACCATGTGGGGATTCACAGTTGGTCCTCCCAGGTTGGGGTTAACAGTTGACTCCTCCATGTCAATGAATTATTTGAAGAACTTGGTAGTAATTCATAGTTACTAATTAATAGCATGAGAGACAAAGGGAGGCATCTAAGGAAGAGAATAAAGGCACCTTTTTAACAATTTGGTTCAGAAAAGTTAAGTTTAGTATAGGAATACCCAGTAACAACAGTGTTCATAATTTTTTAAACTTACATGGAACAGACTTGGATTAATGATGAATGGGTTATTTCCTAGACCACAAAACACTAATTCCTCATTTCACATGAACTGTGCCCTGCTTTAACTAATTTTACACAAGGAGAACTATCCTGAGTCACTGCAGAAATAATTACCTTATAATACAGTTATTTGTTAGAAAAATAAAATCAGTGATGGGATTTGGCAAGCATTTTTTTTTATTTTTTTGAAAATTAGCTATTTATTTGGATTGGGGAATAGCACAGTTTCCGTAATAGCAAAATGTCATGAGTTATTTCCTAACTCACTAACAATTTCATGGTGTTTAAGAAGAAAAAATGTTTTTCATACTTTTAAAATAAAAGAAACCAAGATATGATCTTAAATATAGGGCATAAAGGTACAGGAATGAGATTTAATTTTGCAGAATAATACTGAACAAAATGGAACTTTGTGAATAAGAAAAAATTGCTTCTGTCCTGTGGGATGAAAAACAACAGGAGGAAATTGTAGTGTTATGTCTACATGCATGATGGTGCCTTGCTGCTCTTAACTAATGATCCTGAAGATTTCTAGTAAATCTCCTCATTGGAAAGGGCAAGAGGAAAGAAATATTCTCACAGACTCTTTCAAATTTTGGCACCATTGGCAAGGGAAAATCTTTCCATTGACTCTCAAGGCTGAAAACAGCTATATAGTAACAGAGAATCATTTGAGTTAAGTAGGATCCTTGAAGAATGCATTGACAGCCAGACTCAAGCAACTCTATTCAACTAACTTGGAGACAAACAGGAAAAATTCAGTGTTCTGAATCTTTTGAAATATTTATCCAAACACCTTGAGTAAGTCACAAACTACCATAAGACCCAATTTCTTCATGTTAAATTAAAAGAACGATGATTCTCTGTACCCCCAGAGTTTTGTAAGAATGATTTGAAATATCATAATGTCATAGATACACAGAAGTAATAGTTAAGTTCTTTCAAATTATTTCTCCACGTGGCAGGACAATTCGGATTATTGCTGAGCCTAAGAACCATTGTGATTCCTTTTGCCCTCTGGTTCTGTAAGCTATCATATGAAATTCAATACTTTAAAGTAGAAGTGGAAACTATCATCTTCTGAAAGGTATGCATTTCCTATTTCTCAGTTAATCAAGAGCATTTAAAAGTCAATGGTTCAAGAAGGAAAGAGGAAACAAGCTAAGTAAAGCAAAAGCAGCAGGA